TTCTTACTTTCAATTTTATTAATCTCTCCTTTGATTTTCAGAATTTCTAATTTGGTATTTGATTGGGGATTTTTAATTTGCTTTTTTTCCCCTAGCTTTTTAATTCTATGCCCAATTCATTGATCTGCTCTTTCTCTATTTTATTCATGTAAGCCTTTAGAGATATAAAATGTCTCCTAAGTACTGTTTTGGCTGCATCCCATAAATTTTGGTATGTTATCTCATTTTTGTCATCCTCTTTGATGAAATTACTGACTGTTTCTATGATTTGTGATTTGGCCCACTCATTCTTTGGGATTATATTATTTAGTTTCCAATTAATTTGTAATCTATCTTTCCATGGTTCTTTATTACATGTAATTTTTATTGCATCATGATCTGAAAAAGATGCATCTAATATTTCTGCCTTTCTGCATTTGATTGTGAGGTTTTTATTTCCTAATACATGATCAATTTTTGTGCAGGTGCTATGTGTCACTGAGAAAAAAATACATCAGAAAAGTTTGAAAGTACCCTATTTCATTGAATATCCATCTTTTCCCCTGAAAGATTATGCTCAATTTTGCTGAGTAGTTGATTCTTGGTTGTAATCCAAGCTCTCTTGCTTTCTGGAACATCATATTCCAAGACTTCCAATCCTTTAACATAGAAACTCCTGTGTAATCCTAACTGTGGCTCCTTGATATTTGAATTTTCCTTTCTGGCTGCTTGTAGTATTTTCTCCTTGACTTGATAGTTCTGGAATTTGGCTACAATATTCCTAGGAGTTCTCATTTTGGAATCTCTTTCAAGAAGTGATCAGTGGGTTCTTTTAATAACTATTTTACCTTCTGGTTCTAGAATATCAGAGCAGTTTTCTTTGATAATTTCTTGAAAGATGCTGCCCAGGCTCTTTTTTTTTTATCATGGCTTTCAGGTAGTCCAATAACTCTTAAATTATCTTTCCTGGATCTATTTTCCAAGTCACTTGTTTTCCCAATAAGGCATTTTACATTTTCTTCTTTTTTTCATTCTTTTGATTGTGTTTGACTGATTTTGGATGTCTCATAAGGTCATTAGCTTCCACTTGCCCAATTCGAATTTTTAAGGAATTATTTTGTTTAGTTAACTTTTGTCCCTCCTTTTCCATTTGGCCATTTCCATTTTTATGGAGTTGGTTTTTTTAGCCAATTTTTGTGTCCTTTTCCAAGCTGTTAACTCTTTTTCATAATTTTCTTGCATAACTCCCATTTTTTCCCAATTTTTCTTCTACATCTCTTATTTGATTTTTAAAATGTTTTTTTGAGCTCTTCCAAGAGGACTTTTTGGGCTTGAGACCAATTCATATTTCCCTTTGATGCTTTGCACATAGGTATTTTGCCATTGTTGTCCCCATCTGAGTTTGTGTTTTGATCTTCCTTGTTGCCATAGTAGCTTTCTATGGTCAAGCTCTTTTTTGTTTTTTGCTCATTTTAATTTAATTTAATTTTTTAATGGTAATTCTTATTTTTTTTGTTTTCAACATTTACTTCCACAAGATTTTGAGTTCCAAATTTCCACCCCATCTTGCCCCTCCCCCAACCCCAAGATGGCAAGCATTCCGAATATCCCTTCCCCTAGTCTGCCTTCACATCTATCTCTCCCCCCACTTCTCTTATCCTCTTCCCCTTCTATTTTCCTGTAGGGCAGGATAGATTTCTGTACCCCATTTCCTGTATTTCTTATTTCCCAGTTGCATGTGAAAACATTTTTTTTAAACATGTGTTTTTAAAACTTTGGGCTCCAAATTTTCTCCCTTCCTCCCTCCCCACCCACCCTCATTGATAAGGCAAGCAACTAAATATAGATTATATGTGTGCAGTTATGCGAAACACTTCCATAGTAGACATGCTGTGAAAAACTAACTATTTTCCTTAATTCTGTCCCACCCCCTCCCCAATTTATTCTATTCTTTCTTTTGACCCTGACCCTCCTCAGAAGTATTTGCTTCTAATTAACCCATTTCCCAATTTGCCCTCCTCTCTATCATCCCCCTACTCTCTTGACCCCTTTCCCCCCTGTTTTCCTGTAGGGTAAGATAGATTTCCATACCCAATTGAGTGTGTATGTTATTCCCTCCTTAAGTCAAATCCTATGAGAATAAGATTCACTCATTCCCTCTCAACTTCCCCCATTTCCCCTCCACTATAAGAGCCTTTTCTTTTCTGTTGTTTTGTGAGATAATTTACCCTGTTCTACCTCTCCATTTCTCCTTCTCCTAGTATAATCCTCTCTTACCCCTTAATTTTATTCTCCAGATATCACCCCTTCATCTTCAACTCACTCTGTGCCCTCTATCTATCTATCTATCTATCTATCTATACATACATATAATTTTTTCCCTCCAACTACCCTAATACTGACAAAGGCCTCATGAGTTACAAATATCATCTTTCCATGCAGGAATGTAAACAGTTCAACCTTAATAAGTCTCTTATGATTTCTCTTTCCTGTTTACCTCTTCATGTTCCACTGGAGTGTTGTATTGGAAAGCCAAATTTTCTATTCAGCTCTGGTCTTTTCATCAAAAATGCTTGAAAGTCCTCTATTTCACTGAATGACCATTTTTTCCCCTGAAGGATTATACTCAGTTTTGCTGAATAGGTGATTCTTGGTTGTAATGCCATCTCCTTTGCCCTCCAGAATATTATATTCCATGCCCTGCGGTCCTTCAATGTAGAAGCTGCTAAATCTTGTGTTATCCTGATTGTGTTTCCACAATACTTGAATTGTTTCTTTCTGGCTGCTTGTAACATTTTCTCCTTGACCTGGGAACTCTGGAATTTGGCTACAATATTCCTAGGAGTTTTCCTTTGGGAATCTCTTTCAGGAGGAGATCAGTGGATTCTTTCCATTTCTATTTTGCCCTCTGGTTCTAAAATATCAGGGCAGTTTTCCTTGATCATTACTTGAAAGATGATGTCTAGGCTCTTTTTTTGATCATGGCTTTCATATAGTCCAATAATTTTTAAATTCTCTCTCCTGGATCTATTTTCCAGGTCAGTTGTTTTTCCAATGAGATATTTCACATTGTTTTCTAATTTTTCATTCTTTTGGATTTGTTTTACAGTGTCTTAATTTCTCATAAAGTCACTAGCTTCCAATTGCTCTATTCTAATTTTTAAGGAAGTATTTTCCTCAGTAATCCTTTGGACTTCCTTTTCCATTTGGCCAGTTTTGCTTTTTAGGGCATTCTTCTCCTCATTGGCTTTTTGGACCTCTTTTGCCATTTGGGTTAGGCTATTTTTTAAGGTGTTATTTTCTTCAGTGTTTTTTTGGGTCTCCTTTTGCTAGCTGTTGACTTGTTTTTCATGATTTTCTTGCAAAACTCTCGGTTTTTCCTCTACTTCTCTTTCTTGCTTCTCAAAATCCCTTTTGAGCTCTTCCAAGGCCTGGGACTGATTCATATTTTTCTTGGAGGCTTTGGATGTAGGAGCTTTGACTTTGTTGCCTTCTTCTGGTTGTATTTTTTGATCTTCTTTGTCACCAAAGTAAGATAATATACTCTGACTCTTTTTGCGCTGCTTACTCATGATCCCGGCCAATTACTTGAGATTTAAACTCTTTGTTAAGGTAAGAGTCTGTTTCCAATGTGGAGAATGTACTGTCCCAAGCTTCAGGGGTTTATACAGCTGTTTTCAGAGACACTTCTAGGGACCTGTAAATTTTCAGTTCTTCCAAGGTGCTATGATAAGGCGCAAGGTGTTTCCTCTCCACAGCCACAACAAGCTCCATCACACCAGCACTCCTCCTTGCCCCAGGACCGCCCTTCATAACTGTGACCCATATCCAAGCATGGGCAAAGCAAGAGATTCCTGCCTCTGCACTGGCAAAGAGATCCCTACGATCTCCCTCTGTTCAGCCACTCAATTCCTTCTCAGTCTGTGGGCTGGAAGCTCAGGAAACAGTTGCAGCCCTGGAGGCCGTGCTCAAAACTTGCGGCTGAGACATATCTCTTCTCTCACACAGTCACAGACTTTTCCCACTGACCTTCCAAGTTGCCTTTGGCATTCATGGGTTGAGAAGTCTGGAAACTGCCACAGCTGCCTCTGAAGGCATTCAGAGGACATTCAGTCCTCTGAAGCCTTCTCCAGGGTCACTGCAGCCTGCCCGCCAGTATCGCCCCGTCTGGCGCGATATACCTTTTCCAATTAGCCATCCATATTGTTTTGGGCTAGAAATTTGTTTCACTCTGTCTTTTTGTGGGTTCTGCTGCTTTAGAATTTGTTTAGAGCCATTTTTTATAGATATTTGGAGGGGTTTGGGGGGGAGAGCTCCTGGGGCAAGGAGGAGTGCTGGTGTGATGGAGCTTGTTGTGGCTGTGGAGAGGAAACACCTCGCCCCTTATCACAGCACCTTGGAAGAACTGAAAATTTACAGGTCCCTAGTGCTTTCCCTTTGCCATCTTGGCTCCACCCCCCTTTTTTGCTCATTTTAAAAAGTTGAGCTCTTCTCCTGGGGTGCAGGGGGCACTGTCCCAAGCTTCTTGCACTGGGGGCCAGGAGCCTAAGCTGAAGGGACCTTGTCTGTACCTCTGATGCAGCTTAGTTTGGGCCTGTTTCCCAACTCATTTCACTCCCTTCTGGCATTGAAGTCATGGGGAGTTCTATTCTCAGTAAGGCTTCCTGAGCTGCCAAAGAATAAATCCAGTTGTTCCAAGTGTCTTGAAGTAGCGATGGTCCATTGCTCTCACTCTTGTGTGTGCCTTGCCAGTGGATGTTAATAGAGTATAGGTGTCCCAGAGTTGTTGCATTCTCCTTCCTCAGGCTTTTATTACTAAAGCCAGATGAGGGCTAAAATCCAAGTGGCTCTTATTCTCTGCTTAGCTCTTCCTGGTGGCAATATTGGAGGCTCCATTTGGCTGTTTTTCAGAATACTGTAGAAAGTGCTAAAAGCCCTCTCATGGAGCACAATTATTCATGGAAGCTAAAGATTTAAGTTTCATAAGAAAATTTTGTGTTTGTTTTCTGCTTTGGTAACAGAAGGGGAGGCTGAATTGTGATCCAACTTTTGAACTAGAAGAAATGATTCTAGAATCCAAACCCCTTCATAAAAAGAAGAAGAGGCTTGCCAAAAACAAATCCAAAGATGGAGGGAAAGAAAGCTGTGCCCTGGTAGGTGCTGGGTTCTGGGGCGTGGAGGGCATGGTGTCCTTTATCCCATCTTCAAATGAGAGTCCAAGACTTGTTGAGAACAAAATTGGAGGTTTTGGTCAATCGAAGGAGACTTGTCTAGACCAGTCATAATCCAAGTCATTTGCCAGAATTTCTATCAATAGGAATTGTTATGGGGGAAAAAATATAAGGAGAGGAGACTATGGTGTCTCCCTCTTTCCTCAATTATTACTGGCTGACTGATCAGCATCAGACCAGTCACAGGCTATTTTATTGGTCATTTTCTTCACTTATTGGTCTTAGGTTGACCAACAGCTCAGCTAACTATTGTTTTAATTATACTTCACTGATTAGTCTGATGTTGATTGATAGCTCAGCTAGCCAGTGACAGAGAATAAAGAAATATTAGAAAATGCCAAATGCATCCACCCCCTCCTCCTCTTCTCCAGTGATTCAGCCTTGCAGTTGGAGGAGAAAGGCCCGTTGCTGTTCCTGAAATGCTGGAGAAACAACAGATGGACACTGGTGAATAGTCAGATGGCTGCTCAATATCTTTCCCCTTGATTTGGGTAGTGGGAAGAGGCATGATTTCATCTGAAGGAGGAAGGAAGGGGAGGGAGTAAACATTTATATAGCACTTAATTAAGTGGGCTAAGAACTTTACAAATAATATCTCATTTGATCCTCATAAGTACCCTGTGAGGTAGGTCCTGTCATTGTCTTCATTTTACAGTTGAGGAAACTGAGGCAAACAGAGGTTATATGACTTGCCCAGGTTCACACAATATGTGTCTGAGACCAGATTTGAGCTCAGGTCTTCCAGACTCCAGGCCCAGTGCTCTATCTACTGTGCCTAAGTCACCTGAGGCCTAGGACTCCAATGTCCCGGTGTGGTTGAATTCCTGGACACATAAAGTTACCTAAAATCAAACATAAAAGGTAATGTTTAGAGCCACCAATACGTAACTACTAGTTGTCTTTTTGTTGTTGTTGTTGTTGGGGGGCTGGAGGGTACTTCACCAAAGTATGGTAAATCAAATATTCCTCATGAAATGATTTTTAAAGATCCTTATACCTTTAAATATGGAAGGCAAATATCACCCTTCCTATTCATACCAGGAATGACCAACCTGCCACTCAAGGACTACAAGGAATACACTTTCCAAACTATCACATTAAGCTTGGGGAAAATTCAAAGGATCATTATATTGATGCTATAATTAAAAGTAGCATTACAACCTTTGAAAGACAATATATTGCAATGTAGAAGCGCGTGAGGGCGCTCACAACCAATAGCAAGAGGCCCAAAATAAAGTTTTCATGGCAACAACATTGGAGTCAATTTTGCCATTCAGACAAATGTGTTTGTTTTCTTCCTTTGCCAGGAGCACTGATGAATCCTGACTGCTACTCTTTGTCACACAAGTCTACCCTTGCTTCATAGATTTGCATGTCATTAATGCAGAGTAATTGGGTCCAATGAAAATTCTAAATCTCAAGAGATCGAAATCACCAGCAGTAGAGTTCCCCTATTCTCTATAGTTTTTTGAAATAGGCGTGTAGTCATCAACAGCCTGGCTTCTGGAAAGAAAAAGGTCAAAGATCCTCAGGACCAATTTGGAGAGCAATCGCCTAAACTCGGTCCCATTTCCTTAGTTCATTCCCCTGAAACCATCTCCTATTTGAGTCAATGATGAATTCTCTATTCACCATGGTTCCTTTTTTTGTCTCCATGATTGTTTTCTTTCATTTATGATCAACCTCTTCCTGACGCTGTGGAAGAATGGACACCTACAGCAGTGTTTAGAAACAGTGAGGAAAGAATTTATAATCTTCAACAGAGAGAAGTAAGTACCTCCCAGAGATGCCTGTTCTACAGCACACTTTTAGAATCTGTCAACAATAAGCAGTTATTCCCATTGGGGGGGGAGGGTTGGGGGTATAGGTTGGGAGGAAAGAGAGGGGAAATTTTGTGTGCATACTCCAAATATTTTGTGCTGGTGATGTTAGGAAATGGCCGAGAAAAAAATAGCAAGCTGACAGAGAGAGGAAGGAGGAAGTGGCGAGTCAGCCATTGATTTCTTCCTAGGTCCATTGTACATTTGACAGCTGCATTCTGGGTTTCTTGAAAACTGTCCCAAGGTCTTAGCTCTGCCACTAAGTCATTATGTGGCTTTAATCAAGTTGCTTCAGTTTAATTCAACAAGCATTTATTAAGTAGCTACAAGACACTGGCTATGCATAGAAAATTATTCTTGGGAAGATTACATGATCTGCCACAGTTTCCTCCTCTATAAAATGAGGTAGTTCACCTTCATTATGCCTTACGTCCCTTCCAGCTCCAGGTTTGTATGAGTTTTCTAGGTAAAAAGAGGTAACTTGGCAAAGTTCACTATAAACTATTTTGTAACCTTGGGTAAATCTTTTCATTCCCTATAACTTGGTTTCATTCTCTATAAAATGGGAGAGAGTGGTTGTACTAGTCTTTAGGGTCCCTCCATTGCTAATTCTCTAATTCTGATTTTATTGTCCTGGGAAAAAGAAGGAGGTGAGTACCCACTGACTTGAGCTGGAATATTTAAAAGCTAGGCAAAGGTCCCACCCCTACCCTCTCCCCCAAATGTCCCATAGTGACAAAGCAAAACAAAGCCAAAAGAGGTTGTGACACACGTGTGTTCTCCCAAGTTCTCTAGTGGAATGGTTTCTAGGGACATAGCCCTACTAACCCCGACATCCATTTCTCTCAAGCTATGGACCAAATTGATTCCTTAAAGAATTGAAGAGAATTTAAGAATAATAACTATATAGCCGGTTGAGTTGATCTTTGCAATAGACTATTAGGATGGAGTTGAGGCTTGCTGAAAATGAATAACAAAGCCCTGGTATATTCAGGATTTCCAATGTCTGAAGGAAGAACAAGTGATTATATGACCCAGGGACTAAGTGTGTAGGAGCTTTCTCAATGGGATCTTCCAAAATGGGGAACTGGCATCAAAGGCTGGCATGTCAACATGTTTACAAAGAGACTGCTAAGAGTTTTAGGGTGGTTGTTGTTATTTTTCGTGTTGTGAGACCACATCTACATTCTGATTTCTTCCAGAATTTTGGTTTAATGGGCTGGATAAGAGATAGAATCCCTTGCCCTCCTCACCACTCACCACTCACTGTCCATGGGCAAATTTTCAATCAGGGATACCTGCCATTGGGAATGTAGGATTGAGGACGATAGAGATTATCTAGTCAAATTCCTTTATTTTGCAGATGACAAAAAAAGCCCAAAGATGTAAAATGACTTGCTGAAGGTCATACTGTTAGTAAATCCCAGAGCTTGTCCTATACTCCAATTCTAATGTTATTACTATTCATATCACACTGAATGAGACAGGACTGAGAAGGAAACAGATCTTGTCTGTTTCTAGCAATACCTAAAACCAGGAGTTCTTAATTTCTGTGTGTAGCAGATAAAACCTATGGACCCCTTCTCAGAAAAACAAATACACAGTATCACTAAGGAGACCAATTATATTAAAATAAAGTAATGAAAAAAACAAAAAATGAAAAAGTTCACAAACCCCACATTAAGAACCTTTGACTTCCATATGGTGTCTTCCATCTCTGACAATTCATAAATCTGAGTCAATAGTGTGGGAGTAGAGGAGTGTGGGGGAAGTAATGAGGTGGGGGAGGTCAGAGGTAGGGTACGTGGCACACTCAGAATAGGCCACCACCATGATGCAGTGGATCAATTGATTTCATTTTTGATTGGGGCATACTAGCCCAATTACTTAAGGGAGACAGCAAACTCAGGGAAGACCTACTGATCTGTTTTTTGGAAGAACGCGGTCACCTATAAAGTGCAGAGAACGTGTGAGGCTAGAACAAGACAGGAACCCAGGACTGTTGGTATGTAGAGCTGAGCAACAGAGACCCAGGAGTCAAATCGATGAGTGTGCCTCACAGTTCATTTCAAGTCAACAAACGTTTATTAAGGTCCTGCTACCTACTGGGCATGATGCCAAGTGCTGAAGATACAAAAAAAGGGCAAAAATCAGTCCTTGGCAACATTTCGTATACTGTCCTGGTTTTCTGCCCTTTGGAAACAAAATTAGGAAGTCCCGGTGTTGTATCTCCAAGTGCTCTCTCTGTGTGTTTGAATCTAGGTTATGTGGGAGTTTTATGTACACCCAGGGGAAGAGCCATGGCGAGAAGACATGGCTGAGGAGGGCACCTGTGCCAGCCCTAAGAATATGCTGACTGGATTTTTCTTTTAGAAGGAAGTGATTAGAATTCCATGAAGTGGATAAAGAGTTATAAGGCAGCTTCTTGCCTCAAGAATCAGCTGGAATATAGTTGGGGAAAGTGATCTAACAGAGGCTTAATTAGGCATTTTTGTATCCTATGCAAGCACCACAACCTGTACCTTGAGTGATTGGGTTGTGGATGGGAATGGTGGGAGGTAGGAGGAACTGCCTTGGTAACTTCCTACTTGAACTAATTATTCTTGCTGCATAAATGCCAAGCTCTGCTATTTCTACACTATTAATCTTGCCTTTTAAATTTGGCATCCTATAAATTTCATGCCCTTTGGCAAGACCCCATCACCCTGCCCCAGTTATGGCTCTGAAACAGAGGACATATTAATACAAGGAGTCCTGAGACCTTGGTTATCCAGGCACTTGGATAGTGATTATTATTGCTCTTGTTAATAATATAGCAATAGTAATAAATATTAATTTTACAGTAGCTTACATTGATTGAATGAATTGTGCTTACAAATGACTTTCATGTATATTGTTATTTGTCCCTCAGAAAGTAATGTGATATATAATACAAAAACATCCCAAAAGACCATCACAAAAACTACTTCTGGTATACAAACTTCTCCCATCTGAACACCCATTGTGGTATTTGGACTCGGTGACTTGTAATCTACTCGTGAAAGGATGTAGAGTCTAGTCCTGTGAGTGCTTCCTATAATTGTTTATCTTTGGACAAGTCACATTCATTTGTGGGGAGACTGTTTCTTAATCTGTGAAAGAAGGTCATTGAACAACAACAGGAGCTCATAACCTTTGTTATGTCACAGATGCCGTAGACAATCTGGTGAAATCTATGGACCCCTTCTCAGAATCATGTTTTAAATACATAAAATAAGATACGTAGGATTACAAAGAAAACCAATCACAGAGAAATACAGTTATCAAAATATTAAAAGAAAAAGTTCATGCACCCCCAAGTTAAGAATTGTTAGACTAGACCATCTTTATGGTCCTTTCTAGCTCTAATATCCTGATACCTATGACAATCCTATGAGGTAGTTAGTACAATTATTCTTATTCCGTTTTTACAGATGAGTAAACTGAGACTTAGATATCATAGAATCCTAGATGTAGAGCTTGAAGGGAACTCAGAGGCCATCTGGTCTAATTCCTTCATTTTACAAATGGGGAACCTGAGGCCTAGTGAGTGAAGTCACCTGCCCAAGGTCACAAATTTGTAGATCTAGGATTTGAACCCAGATACTCTGTAAATCTTGAACCTTTTCCATTGTCTCACGTTGCACCTTATGATATTCAATGATTTTTAACAGGTTTGCTCAGCTATTAAATAGTGGAGGTGGAGATGAGGTGGTGGGGTCGTGTGGGGTTACAGATTGAAACCAGGTATTATAACTCAAAATTCATAATTTCTCTAATACAACAAATGATCTTCAAACTGTGGTCTCAGAGAAGCTATGCATTATAGGCGTATCCAATTCAGCACAATTAATCAAATATATATTAGGTGCACACTATGTATAAGGCCCTATGTTAGGCTCTGGAGACATAAAAGATGACAAATGACATAGTTTCCGACCTCAAAGAGCTTAACTTTTGTCTTTGGGGATCAGTTTATATGTAGTTAAGTATCATATGTCTATGGGGGCAAAAGAGACATTCAGATCTAATGCTCTACAAAATCTGTGGAGGAGGGGAACATTTTCAGCTGAAATTGGGTATTGGGGCTCAAACAGGGAATATCTCATGGAGAACAAAGCAATTAAGCTAAGCCTGGAGGGAAAAGCATTCTAAAAGGTGGAGATAAGAAGCGAGGACATTCCAATCATGGGAGACAGTCTATACAGATGTGGGCGAGCAAAAAACCATCCTTCTGAGTGTGAGGAGCAGCTAGTGGTCCACTTTGTCTCGAACATTGAGTGAAGGGGAATAAACCCCCAAAACCCGGTTTGGAGCCAGCACGGGTCATGCCTTAAGTGATAGGGAAATTTGTTTTCTATCCAGAGCTAATGGAGAGCCACTGAAGTGTTTTTAAGCAAGAAGCTGATCAAGCTGGAAGATGTGAACTTTAGCGGGAAAAGATTTTTGTTAGCTGTGTGAAAGATGGATCCTAGAGGGAGAGGAACCTGGTAGGGAATTAGTATAGGGTAACAAGAGGGGACAGCAGGAATTAATGATGTGCAATAGTTCTTCTATAACTAGTTACAAGATTCTGAGGATTTTTCTTATAAACAATCACAGGAGGTATGCAAACTCATTTCATGCATCGGAAAACTGAGGGTCAGAGGATTTAAATGACTTCCCCAAAGTCACATATTTACTAAGTAGTAGAGAGACAAGAGACCAGTTTTTATCTAAACTAACCCAGTGCAATTTCAATCACTCATTGCTATTCTCTAGATAAGAAGTATATTGGAGAATAAGGCTTAATATCTAAGAAGGAATGAAATTGTATATACATAGCAGCATTTCACTTTAAATATGTCTCTTGCCAGGAATGGACAGCTAGGTGGAGCAGTGGATAAAGTGCCCGGCTTGAAGTCAGGAAGACTCATCTTCCTGAGTTCAAA